TGAGAGTGGATAAGATGAAATTGACCCCCAACAACATATTCATTCATATATTTCATTGAAAGTGTTTATCTTTTGCTTTTGCCATTGATCAAAAACTCATGCATACATGTTTATTTTCTGTCTTGCATATTAAACTTCAAATATTTCGTTCTTAAGTCTTAGCTAATCAACAAACCACACAACTAAACTAGGCCGTGAGTCCTTTGGGAAGAACGATACTTGGTCTTACCAAGTTTATTACTTGAACGATTCGGTCATACTTGCCGATTGTGAAACAAGTTTGTGACATCATATTTTGGTGCTCATAAATTTGTCCATCAGTAGGGCTGTGTCGTCCAATATCTCCACGTCCTCCTCTACTCGTACTTCGTGTGCCCGGTCCTCCGTACTTGCTCCTCAATTTCCTCTTCAGTCCGCGGGTGGGAGACCTATGAAAGATTCTCCGATGCCAAAGTCAGTTGAGAGCAACAACATTTTTCTATCGAATAGTAATAAATGTGCAGTAAATGCAACCTGTCTACCACTCACCCTGGATCTGTATTTATAGTTTTCGCTATGGGCTTGGGATTAGTGAAAAGTTAATCACGACTCAAATTCAGCCCAATAGCTTTTAACCTCCACTTACCTTAAACCAGATTAATTAGCAGTATGGCGGGCAGGTCTCCTAAGTTCGGCTCTTGGATCGGCCAGCCCTTATGGGCGTCATTTGTAACAAACGGCGTGTCCGACCGGCCTTCATAGTGTATCCGGCTGATGAGGTAAAATCACGGTCGGCCCCTATGGGCATCATGTGTAACAAAACGGCGTGTCCGGCCGACCTTTGTAGTGTAGCCAGATGATGAGGTAAAATCGCGTGGTCTCGGACTTGTGGGCATCCGGTTTGTTGCATCGATTCTTTGATGACGAACCAGAATAACGCGTTTGGTCTAATGTAGACGCCTGACCTATCTGGCGTTCGGTCCCTACAGGTACAGTACAGTTTTTAAGATTTGGGGATGTTAAGATTGTTGATAGAGGTGCACTGGTTTAGCTGAACCTACAATCTCAGAGCTTCTAGTTTTTTATTATGACAACATAATTAATATTTATGTGTTACATGTTCTATTGCTTACATGCTATATGTTTTAATCAATGTGTAAATTTGTTTAAAGCATTGAGAAGATGATTGTGTTGATACATTGCATTTCACTGTGCTACATAATTGATTTTATTTGTGAATGCATATATGATGTTTTATAAAAGGAAAACCACAAGCACTTATGTTGAACTTTTAATTGTGTGGCAAAACAACAGTTTTAAGTCGACTGCATTATGAAGTGAGTCGATTAAAACTCGTGGCTTTGCACAAACCATTTTCAAAGTGAGCTGTGAGGATTTTCAAAGTGAAAGTTTTTCAAAACTTTGTTTAACTGTGTTATATAGTTGATTATATGCAACCTGCACTCGACTAAGTCTGTTACAGTTTTGAAATTCTGTTAATGCTTGAATTAAATTTTACAACGACTATATTTTTAAATATGTTGTTCAATTAACTGCATTGATTGCTGCTAACTGTTATAACATAATTGTTATATTCGACTGCATTAGTAGCTAAGTCGATTAAAATGCGTCATAATTGTGTTTATCTATAAATTGTCGTGAACTTCATTTTTGTAAGAACTTTTGTGAATCTAACATTTTTGTGATATCTTTTGCAGAAAGTGTATACTTACAGAAAGAGGGAAAGAGCTCCAAGAAACAAGAAGTGACCGTGGTGATCATCTCCTTGTGGGTTATTGAAGAGCAAGTTAACTACACTTACAAAGGCTGATCAAATCTGCACATTGGGTGTAATTGAGAGATCAAAGGCTATAATCTTGTAAGGATTAGATTGAGGTTCCCTGTTGTGATTACAGGAAGAAGAGCATGTTGTGTTCTTGACTTTGAGGGTGGCTCAAAGGGTTTAGACTGCAGGAGAGGAGATTCTTGCTCCTAGTCTCTTTTGTATATGTCTATATTTTGATTAGAGGGTTAAAGAGGTGTTGTATATTTTTGACGTGAGGTTGCTATAAAAATCTTGTTGTAAAAACCTTGATCATTATAATGCATTGGCTTCCTGTGGTTGGAAAGACACTGGATGTAGGCTTGGCTGGACTAGTATAAAAACTCAGCGTTTGATCTTTCTATCCTTGCACTCTCTTATTCAGTTGACTTCTTACTGTATTCAATCGATTTAATTTCCACTGCATAAACAAATCTTTTTCCTTGCGTTTCAAAAAAGTTTTTAAAGGCATCCACTTTGCGAAAAAGATTTAAAGAAAAAATTATTTTTATATTTCACCAATTCACCCCCTCTTAGTGTGAGAAATTAAGTCATTTTATTTTCAACACGGGAGTTGAAGGGGGCAATAATTGAACAAGTTAAAGGGTTTTTATATTGAATTTTTTCTCTTCTTGGTGCAAGCCCTTTCCTTCCAAGAACAACATATATGGTGATATAGAAGAGAAGCATAATGAATCAATAACAATTAATGAGATGAGCATGAAGTCATGTTGGAGTGTTTTAAAATATTATTGTATCAGTAGTTTTTTTTTTATTCATATTAATAAACATTCTTTCTAAAACTTTTTGTTTTATCATAATTTTTTATATGATAGAATAATAGATTTGTACATAGTAAAATTAATATTTTATATTTTTTCTAATTGTTTTTGAAATATTTTATTAAAAAAATTATTTTTTTAAAAAAAAAATTATAGCACTTATTTAAATAAACACTATCTATTTTAAACTCATACTTATATTTTTAAGATAATCTGATGTTATTATTAGGCAGTTCAAATATTTTTATATTACAAGTTTTTTTGTACCATGTATTCCTCATTTCTTCAACCGGGTTTACCCTTATGAGTTTACTATATTTCTTACTGCATAAATACTTAGTTGTCTACAACTAGTTCACAAATATGTTATTTCAATCCTTATGTTACTTCAATCCTAACAAGCATTTCTAGCTTTAGCTGAATAAAGATTCCAAAATTCATAGCAGTTGTAATTATTCAACAAATTCAATTATTATGCATTACACATGTCTGATTTATACCTCAACATTATTAATGTAAATTCTAGAAGAATATAGAAAATCTTAAGATAGAAGTATTGAAAAGTAATACAATATTTTAAATAGGGTTAAATATGTTTTTAGTCTTAAACTATCAAGCGAATTTGTTTTTAGTCCCTCTTTCAAAATAAAGTACATTTTAGTCCTCCTTCTTAAAAAAACCTTAATTTTTGGTCCTCCAAAACTAACAGCGGGAGGATAAAAAATTAACGTTTCCTTAAAATAGAAGGACTAAAATGTATCTTACTTTGAAAAAGGGACTAAAAACAAATTCGATTGATAGTTTAGGAACTAAAATCATATTTAACCCTATTTAGAATATTGTAGAAAGTCCTAGGATAGGAATAAAAAAATAAAAGTCGTTCTATATAGGTTAAAATATAGAACATTTAGCACAAGTTTGTGGCTAGCATTTTCTAAAATAGTTTATACCCATGTACTCTACCATTTTAAGAAAGACACTATCTAACAAAACTAGGACAACTACAAAATATATTACTTCCAACTACTGCTTTCACATTTTACTATCTCTATATTTTCTTTATCTCATCAACTATTCATTTCACAACCTCAAAATATACTAACAACGATACCAGAGCTACATTTCGTCATTTACTAGGTGCAGATGAATTTTCTCACCTCCTTTAAATAAAATATTATAACTCCATTCTATACTAATTCCAAATATTTTCTACACCTATAGCTACTACCAATTAAACATCATTAATTCCAATACCTATTTTCATTTGAGAAAATTATGATTTTTGTGAATAAAGACATCTCTCAAGACTTGGGAGCTCGTAAACTACACTCATTAAAAAAGACATCATTAGAGTGAAATAGATATATAAAACAAAACTCAATCATGCTGAAACTATACAAAAAGCATAAGGCAAGATTTGTCACTAAAGGCTACTCACAACAAGCAGAAATCAACTATAATGAGACCTTTGCTCCAGTCACATAACAAAAGACCAAATTGCGGATATTTTTATGAAGGCGTTACCAAGACCAAGTTTTGAATTAGTGGGCGCTATACTTGGTGTTATCAAATTTGCATCAAAGAGAAATATTAAAGTGTAATGCAAATTCTAGAAAAATATATAAAATCTTAAGATAAAAGTATTGAAATGTAATATAATGTCTAGAATATTATAGAAAAACCTAAGATAAGAAAAAAAACATTTTACATAGGTAAAAATCTATACATTTCAAATGTTGTGGCTAGCATTTTCTAGAATAACATATAGGTCTATAAAAAGAACATCTAACACAACTAAGAAAACTACAAAATATATTACTTCAAACTACTACTTTCACATTTTATTATTTCACAATTTCTTTTGTCTCATCAACTATTCCTTTCACAACCTCAAAATATTAACATTCACCAAACTACCCCATTCAATGCGTATAATCTTTCTCCCCTTTCCTTTTAGATTCTTACTTAGTCTCCACAATGATATATATGAGATAACTACGTTAATTAACACCTAATTCTATTCACGGCCTCAAGTTATCAAACCTTTGGTGGTTCTTACCACCTTATTCATGACCTTACTGGCTCTTCCTAACATTTTACTCGCAGTTACCCTCACGCCGGTCTATTTGAAACCCGATAGAGATATGTCTCTATGTGATGAAATACATGTATATCCTGCCACCGCTTCCAAAGCCATGCCCCCAAAATATAGCAAAAATACAAAACTTAAAAATAACAGGGGTGGGAGAGATGACATTGTTACGAAGTTCAATCTTCAAAGTATTTTAAGTTCAGGACTAACATGCATATACAGAATATAACTAACTTAATCCCATACAAGATGACCGTGTAGGTCATCGTTATTTGTATTTCAATCATTTCAAACAACAAAAGAGAGACTTAGAATAAACTTTTGTTCATGACACTGGTATCATCATTGTTCCCTCCGCGTCTGAGAATGCAATGCGGAAATCACAGCTGACCTAACAAAAAAATAATAAACAAAAGCACAATTATATGTACAGAAGTTTAACTAATTTGTTTCAAATAAAGTAATCAAATTCATGCAATGACAATAAATTCAACTATTTTGGTGGGGGGCATACAGTCCCTTGTTGTAAATAGTTACGAAAAAGTATGTGGTAAACAGCATACTCTTAATTACTATATTTCTTATATTGCCAGTGATCCATGTGTGTAGTTGGCAACCTAATTTATTCAAATGAAATCCTAATTATTTTAAAAAGAATTCTTTTTATTGTATTGAGATTTAAAGTCCGATCTTATCTTTTAATGTGTCTCCACTTATTAAATAAGAGAGAATTAAGAGAAACGAATAACACACTCCATACTTTACTTTTCATGTAACGAAATTCATCAGACTTATCTTTTGCTTATTTTAAACTAGTTATTATAAAAACTCGGTTGGTTTATGAGCATTGTTACTGCTCCCTGTTTTTAATCAATAATAATAGAATAATTATTTCCTTTTGCACCCTTTTATCTCTTTCTGCTTATATGGTATTTAGAGCAAAAAATCTTCTCCATGATTTCGTCATCTTCCGCCAATATCAACCTGATTCATCTCCTTCCTCTTCCAATTTTCTTTCTCATACTTTTCATATCCCAATTTCTCTAAAACTTGATGATGACAATTTTCTTCCTTGGCAAAGCTCTTGCCACCATTCGGGGACTCAAATTGATGAATTCTTTGGTGGATATGTGCCTCCACCAAAATCCGTGTCCTCTGATAATGCGACAACCCATTTCTCTCAATCCCGCACATGTTGAATATGACCAAAGATCAATTGGTGGTTGCTAGCCTGCATGACTACTCCAATCTTAACAAAATTGGTAGGCGTTGATTGTTTTTGTCAAATTAATCTGGACTTTTAGAAATGTGTAAACCTAATTGTGTGTAGTTGGGCTCAACCCATATTTTCATTATAAATAGGCTATCCTATGTGTTGTTTCAACTCAAGGGGATATACCCCACACCTAATCTCTCTCTATTTTCACATTGTATCTAGAGCTAGGGTTCTCTAATAAACTCACAGATATTGTCACCTTTGTTGCCACCGTCGACTTTGTCACCGTTATCTGTCATTGAAAGATTTGTCGGAGCACTTGTTATGCTGTCGAGAACGCCACAATCGAAGATCCAATAGATAGCGCTTTTTTTAAAATAAATGTTATCTATTGGTAATTTATTCATTGTCAACCACCAATAGATAACACTTATTGGTGGTTGACAATGAATAACGTTTTTTTTAAAAAAGTGCTATCAATTGTCATCCACTAACACTTATTTAAAAAAGCGTTATCTATTGATGATTGATAATAGATAACGTTTTTTTTTAAAAGCGCTATATATTAATAGATAGTCTATATATAGATAGCGCTCAAAAAGCGCTATCTATGATAAAGGAAAAAAGCGTTATCTATGTACTTTCTTATAGTGAAATAATGATGTGAATGCTCTAGCTAGAACAAGCCAAATCTAGAAGCAAATCAAGTCATAAGTTCATGGATGAAGATTGCGAAATTTGATGGTGGTGAAAGGTGTTAAGAGCTCATGGTTTTGGTGAGTTATATGGTGAGGGAAACCTTTGTTTTTCCTTCCTAACTCTTGCATCAAAATTCACATGTCAAAACCCCCTTATTTGAACTTAAAACCTTCTAAAACCATCACATTGACCTATACCAATTTCCTGATCATATTTATACCAACTCATAATGCTAACAAATCTCAAATGACATATAAAGAGACCTGCAATACCATATTCCTCCATCCAAACACTATATCACCAAAATGCATATTAAAACTTCCATTTTAACTACCAAAACTCCTAGATTTTCAATTCCTTGTTCCATAAACTTTACAACACATATTCCTATTAGTAATACAACATATTCACATAAAATTCATGACCAAAGTATCATCCAAGATATCTCACATTAGAATTTCATCATCAAATACTCAAATAAACCCATTTAAATGTGTTAACACTAGCACAAAAATAGAAATCACCAAATCAATAATACTCATACAAATACCGTACTTACACCACAAACATCAATTAAAGAAATAGTCTACCTTCCGTTACGTAATATTAGAGCAACAGAGCTCTATAATCACTAAACCCTTCATTAGAGCTCAAAGAACTCTAGAAACGTCTACAAAACATTGAACAAAGATCGGAGAAAGTTCTTAGGACCTCTGATCAACAGATAATTAGGAAAAGACATTACAATTCACAATCGACAAGAGATCATTAAGCATGATCTCAATTAAGAACAAAACGAGAAAAAGGAGTCGAAACTTACTTGTTCTATTGAAGAAACTAATCGGGTAGAATCGTAGACCTCGTTGTCGTGGTCGTTTAGGTACCTCCTGATCATCAAAGAGATGACTCAAGAGTTAGAACTCTTAGAGAGAATGTGGAGAACTCTAGAAAAGTGGTTTGTAAAGAGATGGTACTTTTTAAAATAATGGAACTCGTTTATAAATAAACTATTTATAAATAAACCATTTAATATTAAAATAACGGAGTCTCACTATTTTTAAGCAATCACCACTTCTAAAATACCATTTTCTAGGGTTTTACAGAAATGGATGAAGACATCGGTGCAATTTTGTGTAACAATAGGCAGGAGTGGTTTGATTTCTCAAAAAAGAATTCTGATTGTTGACAAGTGCCTAATGAGTACCAGTTTGGCAAAAAAGAAGAACAACTTTGCCACCGAGAATGCAAAGAACAAGTCTTCCAAAAGCAAAAGGTAGTCTCCGTTAAAGCATTAAGGTTGAATATAGAATTGTAGCTACTATTTTTATTGAGATACTTTTCATATAGTCTCTTCTTGATGAACTTTACATCAATGAAGGAATACCAAAGCTTTATTATGATAATTTGTGTTGTTCTCATAGCTTTAAATCCATGGATGCATTCAAAGTTAAAGCATTTTTAAATTGACCATCACTTTGTTTGTGATCATATATCCAACAACATCACATTTAGTTGATTCATATTCCAACCATGTGTCAAGTTGTCAACTTCTTTACCAAAGAAGTTTCAAGATCTTCTTTTTCTACTATTAGAAATAAACTTATGGTTGTCCATTGATATGATCTTGAAGGGTCTTTGAGAATTAAATGAAATATTAGTGGATACTAAATATTTCTTTTTGTGAGAGTTTTTTGGAATTCTACATTTAGAACAACTTGATAATTATTTACATGACTTATCATTCACATTATCATTTTTTCTTGCTACAATCCTTCCTCAAACTAAATATCATACCCCTGATTTTTTATCACCAATAATCTTGAGGGATATTACATAGTGTAATCTATTTATGTTAACTAATAAGTGTTTTATCAGTTATATTGTGCTTTATATAACTCTCTACTCTCTATTTTTAATCAATATAATAGAATAATTCTTTTTTTTTATTTTCTTCCTTTTCACTTTTTTGTGTCCGTCTCCTTGTAAGCATTTCTAATTAAGCTCATTAAACAATGAAATATTTATGATTGATATTTGAGACAAAAATAATTTAACAATATAATGAATATGTTGAAGATATATACAATGGAAAGGTCTCAAAGAGCACAAAGAAATATATAAGTTGTTAATTTTGAATTGTAATTAATGAATTTTTGTTAGAAAAATAATTTTAAAAGATTAATCATTTTAGTTAGTGTTGTCAAAACGGATAATCTGGCATGACCCAGCTCGATCTACTACGGGTTGGTCATTTAGTAGTCAATCCAACCCAACTTATTTATTATTGAGTCAAAAAAATTTGAACCTGACCCGGCCCACCATGGGTTGATAGGTTAAACGGGTTGACTCACTGTCTCACTTGATTACAAGTTTTTTTCAAATTAAAAAAATTACAAATTTTTGTAATTCAAATATAAAGAAATTTCACTCTAAAATGATATTAAACTCCAAAGATAATTCAAAAGAGAAAAACTATCATACAATGCAAATGTAATCCAAATGTAATCCAAAAGCAAATACAAAAGGCTAACAAATAAGTTTTTAATATTGATCATTTTTTGTGTTTCTTATCCGTATATAAGAATCTTGAATAGATAAATCTACAATATTTTTGTATCTTGAAACATCTTGTTTTTTTATCCCAATTTACAATACACAATACAATAAAAAAGCAAAAAGTGTCAACTAATAATATTGAAATACAAAACAATAAATAATTAAATTAAATTAGGTGGGTTGGTGGGTTGGTGAGTCAATCCAACTCACTACGGGTTCAACCTAAGTGAGCCAGATTCTAAGTGGACCGGGTTAAAAATTAACTCATATAAAAAATTAACATATTTTTCAAATGGGTGTTGCTCCCTCCACCACCCCAAGTGTTCCTGCATCTCCCCACTATTTTCTTTTATTCCAAAAATACTCTACACCTCTTCACTATTTTCTTTTATTCCAAAAATACCCTCATTCATATGGCTCAGATTTAAACTTGTGATATATTGCAAAATTTTATTTACACTTTTCCTTAAATAAGTTTGATTCAATCTTATTTTCACTGTTCAATATATTTTTTTTTTCTTCAAATTACTTAATAAATGATAAAATTTTGTTCTAAATTTCTAGAAAAATGTTTATATTTGTGTGTGTTTTTTTTACATTTAATATCTATAATTTTTAACATTATATTATGTTTTAACTTACCTACATGTTTGACTCAAATAACTTGAATAAAGTATTTAATTTATTAGATAAATAATATAAAAATATTATTAAATACTTAAAATATAAAAGAAAAGTTATTTATTAAATATTTGAAATTTATTTAGTTCTTTCGTCATTATAAAGTTATTATATAATAATAAAAATATATTATTTACTATTAATTTTATTATATTTATTATTTTGTATTTGCATCTAACTTTTAAGTTTATCAAATGGAAGTGGTAAACGCACTAATATTGAAGTTTTCTTTGAATTTTATATTTTGCAATATATCACAAGTTTAAATCTAAGCCATATGAATGCGTCATTAATGCAGAGAGAAACAGAAAGATTGTTGAGGATAGTGGGAAGATGTAGGGTATTTTTTAAATAAAAGAAAATAGTGGGGATATGTAGAGTATTTTTGGAATAAAAAAAACAGTGGGGAGGTGCAGAAGCACTTGGAGTGGTGGAGGAAGCAACACCCTTTTCAAATCCAACTTGGCCCGACCTATAGTGGACCGGATTGGTTCGTGTATTCTAACCCATTTTGACAATACTAATTTTGGTGATGTTGAAATAAAAACAAAGAGAAAATTTAAGAGTTTCGAGATATAAAAAGATTATAGTGAACGAATTTTATTGTATTAGTTTTAATATATAACTGCAATTAAATTTGAACAAAAATAAATAAGTCTCACACAATCATAATAACATAACTAAGAGTATAGTTATACCTAAAAAAATATAACTGCTCTTTTCAAATTTATGTATACAACGAAAGAAAATATATAATTTTGGGTGTGGTATTAATTGGTAACTGCTCTCCAACTTGGACATGTAAAATGCATATCTTTGCAAGATATATTGTGTAAAACATAACATTGGGAGTTTTGAACTTTGTGAATCGTTGAATGCGACTAATCTTTCTATTCTGATTTATTTCAATTTCAATTATAATTTCAATTTCTAGTGTTGTATATAAATATGACGAAAGGGAAATTACGCTGAATAAAATATCAAACACTAATAAGATTTTAAAGGAAGGAATTTGAAGTATGGTTGACATGCAGGAATACATATATACCTACCAAATGGTAGAGGAAGAAGAACTCCAAACGCTCATTACTGTCATCATGACTGATGGATTACCTGAATATACGAAAAAGATTCAGGTTTAATTTTTAAGCTAAAAGATTTTATAAAGAACCTGGAATTGTTTGTAGGACAAAGATTGTAATGAGATCTTATTCAATTTACTATGAAAGTTTTGATATTGTAAAATTCATTTGGAAAATAACATATTGCATCAAAATAACGGACGTGCACCAATGAGTTTCATTCTCTGAATAAATTAACAAGTATTGATTTTGAATGTTAGTATGATTAGTGAAGAAAAGACTTAGGATATATAACATCATTGTATTAGAAAATATTATTTAAATATACAAAAAATAGCAATGGAATTAGGATATTAATGAGTTCTTACCTGATTGGGAAACAACTTTTGGATCGTTTTGTAAAGATCGCCGTGAAATGTTGACACTTTAATGACTCCTTGAGAGAAAGTCATCGTATTGGGACATTCAGCTACCATCACGTTTTTCAAATATGAGCATTGCAAAGTGGCATTCCCTGAATAAAAACTTACTAGCTTTGGTAAGGAATTCAGCTTAATTGATCTGAGTCGTCTACATATTATCTCATCACAACCATCTTCATTCTCCTTTTTTACAATTTCTTTTATTGATTCACAATTCTTTATGCTTAGAGTTGTAAGTTTCACCAAACTTTTGAGTGTTGCAAACGTGAATAAATATTCCATCTTTTCACATAGCTTCACAGATAACTTTGTAAGATTGATGAATGACACTTCACAAGAAACTATGCTTTCTACTCGAGGGCAAGTGCGAAGCTTTAACAATTCAAGCATTTTGGAGTATGGTTGTACCCACGTGTGCTGTAAACCTATGGACTCTAACTTAGGTAGTTCGAACAAATATAATTGTTTCAATCCAGCAAGTACATTGTCGTGAACTTGAAGCTTTTGAGAGGGAAATATCTCCTTCAGACCAAAGCATTTTTGTACTGTAAGATATTCTAAATTAGGTAGCTTGTGAAAGAAATCAAAAGGCAAACTATCTTTCCCATTGTTATCATCCTCAAAGGATAGTATAAGATATTTTAATTTACAAAGATGGTCTTCTGACAAACGTGCATCACTCATTAGCCTAATGTTTTCCTCATTGAGTGTCAGTCCCACCGGTTTGGGAGATACCTGACAATTGAAGTCAAACAAATTCAAAAGACGAGATGTGTTGATGTTAATTAGATACTATAAGACAAAAATATATCAATGAAAAGAAAAGGAAACACAAAAGGTTAAATTATAATACTTCGTTACCTTTTCAATCGAGAACAAAGGTTGTTNAAATAAACCATTTAATATTAAAATAACGGAGTCTCACTATTTTTAAGCAATCACCACTTCTAAAATACCATTTTCTAGGGTTTTACAGAAATGGATGAAGACATCGGTGCAATTTTGTGTAACAATAGGCAGGAGTGGTTTGATTTCTCAAAAAAGAATTCTGATTGTTGACAAGTGCCTAATGAGTACCAGTTTGGCAAAAAAGAAGAACAACTTTGCCACCGAGAATGCAAAGAACAAGTCTTCCAAAAGCAAAAGGTAGTCTCCGTTAAAGCATTAAGGTTGAATATAGAATTGTAGCTACTATTTTTATTGAGATACTTTTCATATAGTCTCTTCTTGATGAACTTTACATCAATGAAGGAATACCAAAGCTTTATTATGATAATTTGTGTTGTTCTCATAGCTTTAAATCCATGGATGCATTCAAAGTTAAAGCATTTTTAAATTGACCATCACTTTGTTTGTGATCATATATCCAACAACATCACATTTAGTTGATTCATATTCCAACCATGTGTCAAGTTGTCAACTTCTTTACCAAAGAAGTTTCAAGATCTTCTTTTTCTACTATTAGAAATAAACTTATGGTTGTCCATTGATATGATCTTGAAGGGTCTTTGAGAATTAAATGAAATATTAGTGGATACTAAATATTTCTTTTTGTGAGAGTTTTTTGGAATTCTACATTTAGAACAACTTGATAATTATTTACATGACTTATCATTCACATTATCATTTTTTCTTGCTACAATCCTTCCTCAAACTAAATATCATACCCCTGATTTTTTATCACCAATAATCTTGAGGGATATTACATAGTGTAATCTATTTATGTTAACTAATAAGTGTTTTATCAGTTATATTGTGCTTTATATAACTCTCTACTCTCTATTTTTAATCAATATAATAGAATAATTCTTTTTTTTTATTTTCTTCCTTTTCACTTTTTTGTGTCCGTCTCCTTGTAAGCATTTCTAATTAAGCTCATTAAACAATGAAATATTTATGATTGATATTTGAGACAAAAATAATTTAACAATATAATGAATATGTTGAAGATATATACAATGGAAAGGTCTCAAAGAGCACAAAGAAATATATAAGTTGTTAATTTTGAATTGTAATTAATGAATTTTTGTTAGAAAAATAATTTTAAAAGATTAATCATTTTAGTTAGTGTTGTCAAAACGGATAATCTGGCATGACCCAGCTCGATCTACTACGGGTTGGTCATTTAGTAGTCAATCCAACCCAACTTATTTATTATTGAGTCAAAAAAATTTGAACCTGACCCGGCCCACCATGGGTTGATAGGTTAAACGGGTTGACTCACTGTCTCACTTGATTACAAGTTTTTTTCAAATTAAAAAAATTACAAATTTTTGTAATTCAAATATAAAGAAATTTCACTCTAAAATGATATTAAACTCCAAAGATAATTCAAAAGAGAAAAACTATCATACAATGCAAATGTAATCCAAATGTAATCCAAAAGCAAATACAAAAGGCTAACAAATAAGTTTTTAATATTGATCATTTTTTGTGTTTCTTATCCGTATATAAGAATCTTGAATAGATAAATCTACAATATTTTTGTATCTTGAAACATCTTGTTTTTTTATCCCAATTTACAATACACAATACAATAAAAAAGCAAAAAGTGTCAACTAATAATATTGAAATACAAAACAATAAATAATTAAATTAAATTAGGTGGGTTGGTGGGTTGGTGAGTCAATCCAACTCACTACGGGTTCAACCTAAGTGAGCCAGATTCTAAGTGGACCGGGTTAAAAATTAACTCATATAAAAAATTAACATATTTTTCAAATGGGTGTTGCTCCCTCCACCACCCCAAGTGTTCCTGCATCTCCCCACTATTTTCTTTTATTCCAAAAATACTCTACACCTCTTCACTATTTTCTTTTATTCCAAAAATACCCTCATTCATATGGCTCAGATTTAAACTTGTGATATATTGCAAAATTTTATTTACACTTTTCCTTAAATAAGTTTGATTCAATCTTATTTTCACTGTTCAATATATTTTTTTTTTCTTCAAATTACTTAATAAATGATAAAATTTTGTTCTAAATTTCTAGAAAAATGTTTATATGTGTGTGTGTTTTTTTTACATTTAATATCTATAATTTTTAACATTATATTATGTTTTAACTTACCGACATGTTTGACTCAAATAACTTGAATAAAGTATTTAATTTATTAGATAAATAATATAAAAATATTATTAAATACTTAAAATATAAAAGAAAAGTTATTTATTAAATATTTGAAATTTATTTAGTTCTTTCGTCATTATAAAGTTATTATATAATAATAAAAATATATTATTTACTATTAATTTTATTATATTTATTATTTTGTATTTGCATCTAACTTTTAAGTTTATCAAATGGAAGTGGTAAACGCACTAATATTGAAGTTTTCTTTGAATTTTATATTTTGCAATATATCACAAGTTTAAATCTAAGCCATATGAATGCGTCATTAATGCAGAGAGAAACAGAAAGATTGTTGAGGATAGTGGGAAGATGTAGGGTATTTTTTAAATAAAAGAAAATAGTGGGGATATGTAGAGTATTTTTGGAATAAAAAAAACAGTGGGGAGGTGCAGAAGCACTTGGAGTGGTGGAGGAAGCAACACCCTTTTCAAATCCAACTTGGCCCGACCTATAGTGGACCGGATTGGTTCGTGTATTCTAACCCATTTTGACAATACTAATTTTGGTGATGTTGAAATAAAAACAAAGAGAAAATTTAAGAGTTTCGAGATATAAAAAGATTATAGTGAACGAATTTTATTGTATTAGTTTTAATATATAACTGCAATTAAATTTGAACAAAAATAAATAAGTCTCACACAATCATAATAACATAACTAAGAGTATAGTTATACCTAAAAAAATATAACTGCTCTTTTCAAATTTATGTATACAACGAAAGAAAATATATAATTTTGGGTGTGGTATTAATTGGTAACTGCTCTCCAACTTGGACATGTAAAATGCATATCTTTGCAAGATATATTGTGTAAAACATAACATTGGGAGTTTTGAACTTTGTGAATCGTTGAATGCGACTAATCTTTCTATTCTGATTTATTTCAATTTCAATTATAATTTCAATTTCTAGTGTTGTATATAAATATGACGAAAGGGAAATTACGCTGAATAAAATATCAAACACTAATAAGATTTTAAAGGAAGGAATTTGAAGTATGGTTGACATGCAGGAATACATATATACCTACCAAATGGTAGAGGAAGAAGAACTCCAAACGCTCATTACTGTCATCATGACTGATGGATTACCTGAATATACGAAAAAGATTCAGGTTTAATTTTTAAGCTAAAAGATTTTATAAAGAACCTGGAATTGTTTGTAGGACAAAGATTGTAATGAGATCTTATTCAATTTACTATGAAAGTTTTGATATTGTAAAATTCATTTGGAAAATAACATATTGCATCAAAATAACGGACGTGCACCAATGAGTTTCATTCTCTGAATAAATTAACAAGTATTGATTTTGAATGTTAGTATGATTAGTGAAGAAAAGACTTAGGATATATAACATCATTGTATTAGAAAATATTATTTAAATATACAAAAAATAGCAATGGAATTAGGATATTAATGAGTTCTTACCTGATTGGGAAACAACTTTTGGATCGTTTTGTAAAGATCGCCGTGAAATGTTGACACTTTAATGACTCCTTGAGAGAAAGTCATCGTATTGGGACATTCAGCTACCATCACGTTTTTCAAATATGAGCATTGCAAAGTGGCATTCCCTGAATAAAAACTTACTAGCTTTGGTAAGGAATTCAGCTTAATTGATCTGAGTCGTCTACATATTATCTCATCACAACCATCTTCATTCTCCTTTTTTACAATTTCTTTTATTGATTCACAATTCTTTATGCTTAGAGTTGTAAGTTTCACCAAACTTTTGAGTGTTGCAAACGTGAATAAATATTCCATCTTTTCACATAGCTTCACAGATAACTTTGTAAGATTGATGAATGACACTTCACAAGAAACTATGCTTTCTACTCGAGGGCAAGTGCGAAGCTTTAACAATTCAAGCATTTTGGAGTATGGTTGTACCCACGTGTGCTGTAAACCTATGGACTCTAACTTAGGTAGTTCGAACAAATATAATTGTTTCAATCCAGCAAGTACATTGTCGTGAACTTGAAGCTTTTGAGAGGGAAATATCTCCTTCAGACCAAAGCATTTTTGTACTGTAAGATATTCTAAATTAGGTAGCTTGTGAAAGAAATCAAAAGGCAAACTATCTTTCCCATTGTTATCATCCTCAAAGGATAGTATAAGATATTTTAATTTACAAAGATGGTCTTCTGACAAACGTGCATCACTCATTAGCCTAATGTTTTCCTCATTGAGTGTCAGTCCCACCGGTTTGGGAGATACCTGACAATTGAAGTCAAACAAATTCAAAAGACGAGATGTGTTGATGTTAATTAGATACTATAAGACAAAAATATATCAATGAAAAGAAAAGGAAACACAAAAGGTTAAATTATAATACTTCGTTACCTTTTCAATCGAGAACAAAGGTTGTTGTAAGTTAATTGGAGCCTCTAAAACTTCTTTTTTACTATCATCATCAAAGCTTGATCTGAATACCTTCAGCTTAGGACAACATTCCACATATAACCTATCTAACAAGGGACATTCTAGATGATGCTTTCCAGGGTAAAAGCAACTCAATAGTGACATCTTTTCAAGAACTAGATATGACAAACATGGGAATTCAATCAGTATTGTCGTTCCATGTTCCGTTTCATCTGGCCTTCCAACTATTTCCACCATTTTCTCACACTCCTGTATTTCAAGTGTCTCCAACTTGCCAAGATTTTTGGCAAGTGATAAAGGGAACAATGTTACTAGGCTTCCACAACCATCAACCTCCACTTCTTGCAAATTGGAAAAGCTGACAATTTCTTCGAGATTTTCTTTCCACACACAATTTAAATGTGACAAGTGTTTTAAGGTAAGCTTTTCCAAACCAAATATTATTCCCTTTGTCTCAACCTCAATCTCATCAGTGTCAAATATTATTTCCACTTCATCGGAGCTATGCACATTCAATTCTTTTAGGTTCTTCAAGTAAGGAAGTATATGAGATGGAATTACGAAGGATCTATTGCAAGTTATACCGAATTCCAACTTTGTAAAGCTGCCAAAAAAGTTGTGTGATACAGTAGGTTTTGTGTGTTGAACTCCCATCATCCCAAGATAATCATCAAGAATCATAAGCTTTGAGTAGTTGAAGAAATCCTTACAAGACAAGAAAATCAATGTCAAGAAAATCATGATAATCGAAAAGTTTCATATGCTTGATATTTGAATAAGATCATTGGGATTTGAATGAATACTTAAGTCAAAATTTGTTAATAGGCCTGCAGCTTATTTATTTTGTATTTATGTTTATAATAGGTTCCAATTATCTAAGATATAAAAAGAGTAGGGAATTAACCTTCTAAGTGATAGGATGAACCCATTGGTGATAGTTCTATACAGTAGTAGAGACCACCACAAATGCATGTCTCTAGTGAGTTCAATGTTAATGCATGTATCTTGATAATTGAGTCTAGAGAATTTGTAATTATATGTTTGATTATTCTATGAATTGTTTAAAATATGATATTTTATGATTAATCAGTTTCTATTATATTCTCATTTCTTTTATAAACTAGCTTCCACTTTCTAATGTTTGTATTTCTTGTGTTTGTTGTTTTTATTCTATAATTATCACCTTCATTTAAGATTGGTGAATGACACCGCACAATAAACTATTATTTCTACCAAAGGACACTCGTAAAGCTCTAACAGTTCAAGTCTTTGAGTGTATGGTTGTACCCACGTGTGCTCTAAACCGATACACTCTAACTCACTTAGTTCCAACAAAAATAAACGTTTCAATCCAGCAAGTACTTTGTCGTGAACTTGAAGCTTTTGAGAGGGAAATATCTCCTTCAGACCGAAGCATTTTTGTACTGTAAGATATTCTAAATTAGGTAGCTTGTGAAAGAAATCAAAAGGCAAACTATCTTTCCCATTGTTATCATCCTCAAAGGATAGTATAAGATATTTTAATTTACAAAGATGGTCTTCTGACAAACGTGCATCACTCATTAGCCTAATGTTTTCCTCATTGAGTGTCAGTCCCACCGGTTTGGGAGATACCTGACAATTGAAGTCAAACAAATTCAAAAGACGAGATGTGTTGATGTTAATTAGATACTATAAGACAAAAATATATCAATGAAAAGAAAAGGAAACACAAAAGGTTAAATTATAATACTTCGTTACCTTTTCAATCGAGAACAAAGGTTGTTGTAAGTTAATTGGAGCCTCTAAAACTTCTTTTTTACTATCATCATCAAAGCTTGATCTGAATACCTTCAGCTTAGGACAACATTCCACATATAACCTATCTAACAAGGGACATTCTAGATGATGCTTTCCAGGGTAAAAGCAACTCAATAGTGACATCTTTTCAAGAACTAGATATGACAAACATGGGAATTCAATCAGTATTGTCGTTCCATGTTCCGTTTCATCTGGCCTTCCAACTATTTCCACCATTTTCTCACACTCCTGTATTTCAAGTGTCTCCAACTTGCCAAGATTTTTGGCAAGTGATAAAGGGAACAATGTTACTAGGCTTCCACAACCATCAACCTCCACTTCTTGCAAATTGGAAAAGCTGACAATTTCTTCGAGATTTTCTTTCCACACACAATTTAAATGTGACAAGTGTTTTAAGGTAAGCTTTTCCAAACCAAATATTATTCCCTTTGTCTCAACCTCAATCTCATCAGTGTCAAATATTATTTCCACTTCATCGGAGCTATGCACATTCAATTCTTTTAGGTTCTTCAAGTAAGGAAGTATATGAGATGGAATTACGAAGGATCTATTGCAAGTTATACCGAATTCCAACTTTGTAAAGCTGCCAAAAAAGTTGTGTGATACAGTAGGTTTTGTGTGTTGAACTCCCATCATCCCAAGATAATCATCAAGAATCATAAGCTTTGAGTAGTTGAAGAAATCCTTACAAGACAAGAAAATCAATGTCAAGAAAATCATGATAATCGAAAAGTTTCATATGCTTGATATTTGAATAAGATCATTGGGATTTGAATGAATACTTAAGTCAAAATTTGTTAATAGGCCTGCAGCTTATTTATTTTGTATTTATGTTTATAATAGGTTCCAATTATCTAAGATATAAAAAGAGTAGGGAATTAACCTTCTAAGTGATAGGATGAACCCATTGGTGATAGTTCTATACAGTAGTAGAGACCACCACAAATGCATGTCTCTAGTGAGTTCAATGTTAATGCATGTATCTTGATAATTGAGTCTAGAGAATTTGTAATTATATGTTTGATTATTCTATGAATTGTTTAAAATATGATATTTTATGATTAATCAGTTTCTATTATATTCTCATTTCTTTTATAAACTAGCTTCCACTTTCTAATGTTTGTATTTCTTGTGTTTGTTGTTTTTATTCTATAATTATCACCTTCATTTAAGATTGGTGAATGACACCGCACAATAAACTATTATTTCTACCAAAGGACACTCGTAAAGCTCTAACAGTTCAAGTCTTTGAGTGTATGGTTGTACCCACGTGTGCTCTAAACCGATACACTCTAACTCACTTAGTTCCAACAAAAATAAACGTTTCAATCCAGCAAGTACATTGTCGTGAACTTGAAGCTTTTGAGAGGGAAATATCTCCTTCAGACCGAAGCATTTTTGTACTGTAAGATATTCTAAATTAGGTAGCTTGTGAAAGAAATCAAAAGGCAAACTATCTTTCCCATTGTTATCATCCTCAAAGGATAGTATAAGATATTTTAATTTACAAAGATGGTCTTCTGGCAAACGTGCATCACTCATAAGTTTAATGTTTTCCTCATTGAGTGTCAATCCCACCGGTTTGGGAGAAACCTAGGAATTGAAATCAAACAAATTCAATAGATGAGATGTGTTGATTTTAGTTAGATACTATAAGAGAAAAATATATCATTAATGCAAAGAAAAGGATTAACAAAAGGTTAAATTATAATGCTTCATTACCTTTTCAATCGAAAACAAAGGTTGTTGTAACAAGTTAGTTGGAGCCTCTAAAATTATAATGATTATCCCCTCTGTCTCAACCTCAATCTCATCAGTGTCAAATATTACTTCCACTTCATCGGAGCTATGGACATTCAACTCTTTTAGGTTCTTCAAGTAAGGAAGTACATGAGATGGAATTACAAAGGATCTATTGCACGTTATATCGAATTCCAACTTCGTAAAACTGCCAAAAAAGTTGTGTGATACAGTAGGTTTTGTGTGTTGAACTCCCATCATCCCAAGATAATCATTAAGAATCATAAGCTTGGAGTAGTTGAAAAAATCCTTACAAGACAAGACAAAAAGCTCAATGTCAGGATAAATCGACAAGTTTCATATGCTTTTTATTTAATTAAGATCACTTTGGATTTGAATGAATACTTAAGTCAAATTTTGGTAATTGGCCAGTAGCTTATTTATTTATGTATTTATTTTTATAATAAATGCCAATTATGTAAGATATAAAAAGAGAAAAATAAAAATAAAAGATGGCTAAAGGTTTTCTGACCAAAATGCAAAAAAAAAATGTTATAAAAGGATAATGGAGTGATGGCAAGTAACTTTGTTTTGAGAAATAGACCAACCAGTTGAATCCAAAAATCCGTTAACTCATTTAGTGTTTGGCCTTTTAGAATTACAGACTCAATCTTCAATGAATTATTCTATTGTATATGGTCAATTACACTTACAAATCCGATCTCCATTTGAATGATCAAAAACTGGAAAACTGGAACAAAACCAGCTTCTAAAATTAAAAGTTTTGTTGTGAAGAATCAATTGGAATTTTTTTTAAATGTTTTGTAAATTTTATTTGGATATTTCCTTAAAGGTAAAAAACATGAAATATTTTGTATTTCTTTCGAGAAACCATTTATTTTTAAATAATATTATTTTGTATTGTTGAACCTTAAACCTAAATACTATGAAAATATTTAATTTTTATGCAAATTTTGAAATAACTACGAGTTGAATGATTTAGTTTGTGATGTATAACTACAAGTGTAAAAGTAGACAAATTCGAAAACTTGTTGCTCTTCTATTTGATAACATTGAATCAAATGATGAATGGGTAACTAAAGAGACATATGATGTTGTTGAAATTGAGCATGTTGAAGATGAAAATATTCACTTAGATGGACCAACAAGAGATCTTGTTCTAGATTATCTTGATCTTGATAACATAACATTTGGAGACAATGAGGATGCACAACATTTATTAGAGGAAGAGTTGGATGAAGATGATGACAGAGATGATGATGTCATTATTAGAGGATTAGACATAGAGACTTTGACATTTCAGTTTAAGCTTTACAATACTTCTATGAACAATATTTCTATGAACTTATGTATTTGAATTTATATAATTTTGTTAACTTATTTGAATTAGGATGTTATTTATTTCTTTTTTTTCATACAAAGTAAACTCTTATGAGTTTAAGAGTCAAGTTTACAAGTCAAGTTTGCTGGACTCTCACGAATTTACGTAAACTCTCGAGTTTGAAAACCTTGTGCATGCCTCAGTGATTGTGTATTAGATGAGTACGCTTCATTGAATGTGTGCCCAACATGTTATTTATCACGGTTCTAAGAAAAAAGTTAATGCAAAAAATGGTTATGAAGACAATGATGATCCACCTACTAAGATGATGTGGATCTTTTCTATACTACCTAGGTTGAAACAATTGTTTCCCATTAAAATAATGTGAAGAACAATAAATGGAACGTTGATGAAAGAAACTGTGATAATCTTCTTCAACACCCAGCTAATTCCCTACAATGGAAGAAGATTGATGAAACATTTTCAGAATTTGGTTCATAGCCAAAAAACTTAAGACTTACATTTGCTATTGATAGTATGAATCCTTATGAAAAGTTAAGTAGCAAATATAGTTTATGGCCAGTGTTGTTGATGATTTATAATTTATCTCCTTTGTTGTGCATGAAGAAAAAATATATAATGTTGTATATAATGATATATTGGGTCATAGGTAACCTGAAATAACATTGGTGGGTATCTAAAATCGTTAATTAATGATTTGAAAATGTTGTGGGAAGAGGGCATCGAGATCTTTGATTCATATTCTGGTGAAACTTTTCATTTACTTGCAATGTTGTTTTGCATTGTAAATGATTTTCCAATATATGGAGATTTGAGTGGTTACAATGTTAAAGGTCATTTTGCATGTCTTATTTGCGAAAAAGGTACTAGTTATCTTCAATTAAGCATGGTAGAAAACTATGTATACAAGACATCAAAGATTTATTCCTCGAAATCACCCTTATTGTAGATTAAAAAAAGCATTTAATGAAAGCCACTAGTGCAGCGAGGGACTTTTACCGCGGTTCATTTTCACTATACGTCGCGGTTTAAGAACCGCGGCATATTCAGCCGCGGTAGTAAGTCAGACACTTTAGGCCGCGGTTATAAC